CCAGGGCCATGAGTTGGCCCATCCCAACATCCTCCCCGTCTATGAGCTATTGAAGCATGTGAAGAGGCTGGTTCTGCAGATCCAAGACTGCAGGATCTCCACGACACAGAACAACAACAGGATATCCAAGAGGAGTCCCAGTGAGGGCCCAGTATCATTAGTGTAGCAGAAATCAGAGGCCTTGAGCTGGACCAATGACTCTTTGCAATGAACACTTGCAAGTAAAGATATATGGATAAAAGGGTTTGCTATGTGATTCACTGTGTCACACTATAGCTTCCAGCTTCTTTTATGCAATTTTTTCCTTTTTTCCACTTAAATTTTATTTTATTCTATTTTTCAGGGGATGTTGCAAGGCCAGAGGGCAGATACAAAGTGATGGGGAAATGAATGGGATTGAGATACATGGTATGAAAGACACAATAAATAAAAACAAAGTAGAAAAATACATATTGGAGGGAGAAGAGAAGGAACAAGAGATATAGGAATCTTAGAGGAAAGATGTAAAATGAGCTAAGTGTGGTAACTCTTGTCTATAATCACAGCACTTTGGAGCCTGAAGCAGGAATACCAATTATGACTTCTAGGCCAGGCTGGGCTATATACATGAATTAAGTCTAGTCTGGGCTAGAGAAACCATCCTAAAAACAAACAAACAGACCAATAGAAAAGCAAAAACAATCCAAAGCTAGACTGAAGCTTAGTTGTTAGAATGATTGCAGAACTCTGCTTCATCTTCAGCACTGTGTAAACTGGGTGTGAGGGTCCACACCTATGATCTCAGCACTCAGGAGGAAGAGGCAAGAAGATGGGAAGTTCAGGGTCAACCTCAACTACATGGGACTATGTCGATTGGGTGCCCACACTAAGATCAGCATCAATATGGTGACCTCCCAGGAGCAGGGAACCACCAGGTTGCCTATGGAGGTGTGAACCGGCCCAGGTTAGAAACGGAGGTCAGAACTCCTGTGCTGATAAGTAGTGTGAATAGCCACTGCATGCCAGCCTGGGCAACACAGGGAGACCCCATCTTTCAAAACCACAAATAAGATCTTGGGAGAGGGATGACTTAGTCCATAAAGTACATTGCGATCATGAGAATGAGCTTGATCCCCAGTACTCATGTAACAACTGGGTGTGATAGTATAAGCTTGTAATCACAGTGCTGGAGAGGTAAAGACAGGAATATCCCTGGGGCTCTCCAGCCAGAAAGCTTGGCCCAATTAGTAAACTTCAGACTGATGAAAATTTCATGTCTCAAAAGAGGTGGACAGCATTCCTAATGATGATACCCGAGGTTCCTCCCATCTCCACACACAGGCACACACATGCATGTGCACACATTAAATAATAACAAATAAATATGAACTGAGAGATGCATTTGCTGTGTGGTGGCACATTCATGTAATCCCAGCACTTGGGAGGCATAGGCAAGCAGATCTCTATGAACTTGAAGCCAGCCTGATCTACATAATGATAGTGAGTTCCAGGCCAGCCATGGCTACACAGTGAGACCCTGTCTCACAGTCTCAAAGTAGTAGTAGTAATAATAATATAAAACAAAGAGAGATGAGTTCAAGCTTCACCAACAATTACACTATGGGTCCTCTTTGATTCACCTTGTCTAAAATCCAATAGCAGGTTGGGGCTGGAGAGGTCTCTGCCCTTAAGGGGGTACTACTGCAGAGGACTTGAGTTTGGTTCCCAGCATCCATGTCAGACAGATTAAAACCTGTAACTACAGCTTCAGGAGCACTGGATACTCCTGTCCTCTTTGGGCACTGTATCCACATGGGCTCACACACAATTAAAAATGAAAAAAATAATAACTCTTAAATAAAAATATCCAATAACAGTTATTATGTGGAAATAAAGATTACCTGATTCTCTTGTACAAAAGGAGTCATGCATCCAGGCTTGGTGCCACAGGTACTCAGGTTCAAGAGGCAGGAAGATCACAAGTTCAAAGCCAGCCTGGGCAATTTAGACAGTGTCTCAAAAAGTAAAAAAAAGGGCTTGAGATGTGGAGCAGTGGTAGAGCACTTGTGTGGTCCATACAAGGCCCTGAGAGCCATCTCTTTTACTGGGAAAAAACAAAAACAAACACTGAGTTTTACCTCCCTTAACCATCCGTTCAGTGATGAGACGTCAACACATAATTTGAGTGTTTACTACAAATATGATGCTTTATTAATACAAAGCAATGTAAAGATACACAATGGTGTTAGCTTATGCTTTTAATCTCAGCACTTGGGAGGCAGAGGCGGGCAGGTCTCTGTGAGTTCAAGGCCAGCCTGGTCTACAGAGCAAGTTCCAAGACAGCCAGGGCTACACAGAGAGAAACCTCTGTCTCGAAAAACCATTAGAAAAAAAAAATACACAATGCTAGTGGTTCAGGGGTGGTGCACGCCTTTAATCTCAGCACTTGGGAAGCAGAGGCAGGAGGATCTCTGAGTTCAAGGACACCCTGGTCTACAAAGAGAGTTCCAGGACAGCAGAGTTCCAGTACACAGAGAAACCCTGTCTGAAAAAAAAAATATACCAATTCATATGGGGATTACAGACTTCAAGGACAAGAACCAGGAAGTACACTTGATTGGAGAAATAGCAAGTCCTCAAGACATTATGAGGGCCATTGTGTGAACTCAGGAATGAAATTTTGAGAGTGGAAAGAGAAGGGGAGCATAGACTCTTAACCTGTCCTAGGCAAATTATGTCAATATGTAAAGGGTTTGTGGCTCCTTGTCATAAGTGACTCTTCTTGGAAAATTGCTGAATATAAACGCTGAGGAAACACTTTAGATCAGAATCTGTTGGGTAGTGTTTAAAGAGCATCCAAAGTCAGAAGTGGGGGTAGAGAGCAGTTAGGGCTGCTGTTGCTCCTAATCCCGCCCTTGCATAGCTTCAGGGTGAAGGAAAGGAAGAACGTTAATGCTTGCTCAGAAGTTTCAGATATGGAGAGTCCCATGTCAGTTTGATATTCTGTTTTTTCTCCCTATGTAGCACAGGCTATTCTTGAGCTCATTATGTAGCCCACGTTGGCTTCAAACTCGTGGCAAGTCTCCTTCAGTTGCCTAAGTAAGGGGATTACAAGCATGTGCCACTACAACCAGCCTGGTCTGTTTTGATTTGGTCATAGTTATAGCTAAAATAAACAAACAAACAAACCAATAAATAAATAAGTGGGGACTGGAGAAATGCTCAGCAGCAAAGAGCACTTGTTGCTCTTATAGTTTTCAGTTCCCAGCTCCCCATGTCAGCTTACCACCACAGGCACTAGGTATACACATGGTGCATATGCATACTTGAAGACATGTGCACATTAAATAAATCTAAAATTGGAGAAATGGCAAAATGTATATACATATATATATGTGTGTGTAATTGATGTATATTTTAAGTGTTAATATTTCTTATATTTATTTTTGTTAATTTATGTGTATGTGCGTGGGGCAGGGGTCTTTGTGAGTAAATGCCACATGTGTGTGTATACCTGTGGAAGCTGGAAGAGGGACTTAGGTCTCTTGGAACTAGAGTTCTAGATGGTTATGAGCTGCCTGGTATGGGTGCTAGGACTCAAACTCAGTTCATCTGGAAGAGTAGCAATCTCCCTAGCCCTTTATATGTTTATATTTATATTATTTAATAAATAATGCATGTTTTAGGGGGAAATTTTCCTAGTAGCCCTTTTTATTTTCTATTGTTTTGCTTAGCATACAAAAATGGGTTTCGTTATGACATTTTCATATGTAGGCATCATACTTGAATCTTACTCTTTTACCCCACTGACCTCTTTCTTCTTCAAAGTAGTCCCCATTTCTGCTTCAGTTATTTATATTCCATTACTCTCGCTTAAAGTAATTTTTTTTTTGAGACAAGGTCTCACTCTGTGGCCAAGGCTGATAGAGAACTCACTATGTAGTCCATGCTGGCCTAGAGGAATGCATGGCAGTCTCCTGCCTTAGCGGTCTGAGTGCTAGGATTATAGGTATGACCCATTGTGCCTGGCTTCCAAGTAATCCTTTTAACACCCCACAAATGTCGCTATTTACTCAGTCATTAAGCAATAGCTTCAAAAGTTCAAAGTGGAGGTTTTTGTGAACCTGTCTTGTTTGCACCAAGCAGCTATCTGCCTTAATCTTTGGACCTATCCAAAAGTACTGGGAAGCTGAGCAGGTGGTTCATGCCTGCCATCTCAGCCCTTGGGAAACTGAGTCAAGAGGATCATGACAGTCTAGCCTACATAGTAAGTTCAGACCAGCCTGGGCTACAGAGTGAAAGAGAGGACAAAAAAGTACTATATTGGAATATTAGCCAGGTAGGGTGGTGCACACTTATAATCCTAGTCTTAGGAGCTAGAGAGAGAAAAGTCAGGAGCTCAGATCATCCTTAGCTACACTGTGAACTCAGGGCTAGCTGGGCTCCATGAGACCTTGTCCAGCAAAACAAAAGGTAGCAGGGTCATACAGATCCTTCAAAAACAAAGAGTTCTAGTTTCCTTTAAAACTGAAAATAAACACAAGGAAATTAATGTGCCAATAGGAAATATGACAGTAATGTAGTAGTGGAAAAAAAGAGCATCATGTTAAAAGTAGTATGGACAGTGTTATGCTATGCAATATATATCTCTTATCATATGCACATATATTTATTATGCCTATAAAAGAAGTTTCAGTGTTTTTCATTACCTGTGGGAGATTAAATATAACTTTTATTCTTATATTCCTTTACCTTTTCCATTGTTTGATATAAATTTTGATAATGAAAATGAAAACACACTTTAGTAATCAGGAAAACCAAATATGATACTTTAATGAGAAAGAATTTGCAGCAGAAACTTGGCACTTGGCAGAAGACTCATTGGCAGTTGCATTGAAGTGTTTTATAATAAGAGTGTCATCCAGAGTGATGACCTGAGCATTTGTGTCTGACTCTGTAGCAATCTGCTGACTGAAGTCCACATCCCAAAGTCCATACATGAGGGCCCCCCTTTCTTCTGGTGTCTCTGTCTCTCTGTCTCTGTCTCTCTGTCTCTGTTTCTCTCTCTCTCTCTCTCTCTCTCTCTCTCTCTCTCTCTCTCTCTCTCTCTCTTTCTCTCTCTCTCTCTCACTCATTTCCCTAGTTTCCAAAATCCTCCCTCCACTGGAGAAGGGATTCAAAGCTGTTGACTGATTAGGGAGTGGGGAAATAGAAAATTCTTGCTTTTGCCAGGGAAAAAACTGTCTCTAAACAAAATGCATAATTCTGACTATGTCAATTTCCATGAAGAAAGCTAGTACAGATGTTACCCCAATTTCACTCTTGCAGACAAGCAGAACTGATGAGCACAGACTCAGCCATGGCTTTCATCTTCTAGGAAATCTTATGGTTTCTGGTTATGGGACATTCTGTTGTGGATGAGGGCAGCAATGGATGCTGGCATTAATCCTAGAATCAATAACCTCCCCTACTAGACCTGGGAAAGAACAGTTTTGTTTTTTGTTTTTTGTTTTTTTTTGTTTTTTGTTTTTGCTAAAGTATATGGTCAAGCAAAGTAACAGGTGTATGGACAAACTTGAGGTGATGCTTTGAGTCACTAGTAGGGTGCAGATGTTCCACTCCCACGTCTACCACCACACATAGTCCTTTGTCCCTTGTCCGCTGTGTGCTGAAAGTGTCTTCTGTGGAACTTGAGATGTTCTTCAGCTCTTCCTGGAAACTTTGAATCACATTGTTTTGTGTCTGCCCTTTCCTCCTGGCGCAGCTCGTCCCCTGCTTAGTTAGTGCACTTTCAAGAATCCTGGTGGGAACAGTACTTGACGTGAAAGGAGGAAGGTTAGACTTTGGGTATGGCTTCTTCTAGAGAACTAAGAAGACAGAATTACTTGCCAGGCCTGGTGACTCACACCTGTGATTCCAATGCATGGGAAGTGGGAGACAGGAGGATCATGAGCTGAGGTCATCCTGGGATATGTATGGAGTTCAACGCTAGCCTGGGCTAAATGTAATATATATTTACATCTGGAATAATAAGTACATGAGGACTGTGGAACATTCGGCAGTTGGAATGGTTTCACACTCTTGGGAAAGAAGCAGGATAACACCATTCTCTACATCAGCTGCTTCCGTGCCTAGTTCTGCTTTCTCACTGAAATCTTATTTAAGCAGGTCAGACTCTGCTCACAGCTGTGCCCCTGTGAGTGGGATCATTATCATAATCATTTTGTTCTGGAGTCCTAATCAAAACCATAGGCAGCTCATTGGTAAAATAATGCCTAGCCATGAGGTAGAGGAAGGAAGGTCGGGAGTTCAAGGTGATCCTCAGCTACCTTGTTGGAGCCAAAGCAAGTTGGAGGCCAGCCTGGGCTACGTACATAAAAACCTGTCTCAAAAAAATTGAAAATTAAATAAGGCATAGCCAGGCCTGGTGGTGCACACTTGTATTGCCAGCTCCTTTTGGAGGCTGAAGCAAGAGAGTTCAAAGTTCAAGGCCACACAAGGAGTTCCAGGTTCTGGGTAACCTGGTGAGAATCTACCTCAAAATAAAAGTTACTTTTACAGAAAGAGTTTAGTATATATCTCAGTGACATAGCACTTGCAGTGTGAGGAGCTTGGTCCAAATCACAGTATCAGAAAAGAAAAGAAAAAGCATGATATCAGATTTCCTTTAGGAATTTTGAATTTTCCAATTTCATTTCAATGCTATATTTCTGTTGTCCAGAAACCTTTCAGGAATGACTTATTAGAAGGGCTTTGGGGATACTTAAGGCTGGGTTCCCTTTGCCAGGTTGTTGATAACTGTGTGTAGTGACAGAGGCTAAATCATTAAGTCATAAGCCTGGGAGAACAGATGCTCCCTGTAAGCTAGTTGACAGCCAGTGAGCATGAGAAAGCTGGGAGGGCATCAGAGGAGTTGGAATGTGGGCCACACCGTCGGGTCCAGCTCTTTGGAGGCTGTGTTTGGTCTTTCATCGGAGAAGGCAGTAAGGTCCATACATAACACTCGGAGGCAGGGACTTTATCTTTATTTGCTGGGATGGGAAGATAACCCATTTTTGTGTATGTACAAAGTGAATCACAGAGGCTTATGTCTGTGCCAGCTGCCCTGGCATGAGGGTGGCTCTGTCAACTCAGGGTCTTCCTTCACTGTCCTGGCATATCATTTGATTATAATGTCCCCATGAAGATACGAGTGTAAGGGCTTCAAGAGTCATCCTGTAATGATGTGCAATAAGAAGACAGTGGTGTAGAATACAGCACTTGCATTCAGAGTAAAGCTAAGCAGAACTCAGAAGTATGTCTGGTGGATTATAGTGATCCCTGTAGTTTTCTTTGAGTCTGAAGAGTTAGGAACATCTTGTCCAACCTACAGATGGAAAGGACATGTGAAAGGTAAGTAAGTGTGCCAATGAACTGAATCAGCAAGGGGTCACTGAGGAGAAAGCCCCAGTTAGATCAAGTACACCTGAGTTTGCCTCTTTGCTGCCTAACAGTAGTTCTGAGGATACATGAACACCATGCTCATGAGCCGAGAACCTATAAACCAGTAGCAGAGTGCCCATTGCCCAGGTCTTGACCAGGTTTTCTTGAATGGAAAAGGCCCTGAGTGTGCAGCTACTTTGGACCCCATATGCACAGGAATTCCACTTCATTCCTTGAATCAAACTAAAAGAATCTCGGCCGGGCGGTGGTGGCGCATGCCTTTAATCCCAGCACTCGGGAGGCAGAGCCAGGCGGATCTCTGTGAGTTCGAGGCCAGCCTGGACTACCAAGTGAGTCCCAGGAAAGGCGCAAAGCTACACAGAGAAACCCTGTCTCGAAAAACCAAAAAAAAAAAAAAAAAAAAAAAAAAAGAATCTCATTATGTTTTGAAGAAGCAGGGATTTAGAAAGAGATTTTAGGGTCTGACTGAATATTTATTTTTGAAACAAGGTCTCTTGTACATCAAGCTGCCTCACTGTGTAGTGGAGAAGGCCTTGAACTCTTGCTCCTCCTGTCTCCATCGCCCAAGTGTTGGGAATCTAGGTGTGTGCCACCGCACCTGTGGGGCATGGATGAAGTCCCTAGTGAACGTTTATTGTTAACATGGGTACAGCCATGTCAAGGACACCAATACCTCAGAACCATGGGAGTGGAAAGCCTTCCTTGGTGAGGCTTAGAGAAATGGCAAAGCCTTCCTCTGCTCTAAGTATCAGTGTTTACAAATGATTGCCCAGTGTGTACAACACCTAGAAACCAGAGCTTCATCCTCCTGGATGACTGCAGCCTGGAACTGCTCCCCTCCAGAGACCTCCTACTGAGATGAGCTAAACCTGCCTCTTTGTTCAGTTCTAGATCATGAACCCACCTCTTTATTTGACTGTATATAATAAACCCGCCTCATTCATTCGGTGTATAAAATAAATCAGCAGATGTTCTGGGCAGCAGTTAGTGCTCTCCATCAGAGTGAGCAGAGCGCAGCTGATCCCAGTCTTTCTGTACAAGTGTCTGTGTGTCTGTCCTTTTTTCATTCCCTCATCACCTAGTTAGGCCAATCCTTGAAGCCATGCAGAGTATGGCACACACCTGGCTTAAATATTTTAAACAACCCTGTTCCACCCTTATTGTGTTTGAGTTCATGTCCTATCAAATTTTGTATACCTTTTCTGAATGCCTAGCTACTATGAACATAACACAGTTTTGTTTCATTTATATGTTTATAGGTATTTTGCCTGCATGTGTGTACGTGCACCATGTGTGTGCTTGATGTCTGAAGAGGCCAGAAGTGGGTGTTGGAACCCTTGGAACTGGAGTTACAGTTGTGGGCCACCATGTGGGTGCTAAGTATCAAATCTAGTTCCTTTGGAGGAGCAACAAATACTCTTTTTTTTTTTTTTTTGGTTTTTCGAGACAGGGTTTCTCTGTGTAGCTTTGCGCCTTTCCTGGAACTCACTTGGTAGCCCAGGCTGGCCTCGAACTCACAGAGATCCGCCTGGCTCTGCCTCCCGAGTGCTGGGATTAAAGGCGTGCGCCACCACCGCCCGGCAACAAATACTCTTAACCACTGAGCCATCTCTCTGGCACCCCCAGTCCTTTTAGATGAGATTTCACTATGGAAACTTGGCTGCTTAGAACTTACTTTATAGACCAGGCTGGCGTTGAATGTATGTCGGTCCTCCTGCCTTAGCTTCCAGCCTTAGCCTGTAAGTGCTGGCTTTCAGGCAGGTACCACCATGTCTAACTTTTGTTTTGTTTTGCCTCATTTATTTTTGAGACAAGGCCTCCTGTAGCCCAGGCTCGCCTTGAATTCTTGACTCTTCTGCTTCTACATCCAAAGTGCTAGGATTGCAGGTTTGTGCCATAATGCCTAGTTCTACAAGGGATTTGGGGGGGGGGGAGGTTTGATTTTTCTTCCCAAAGTAAGGCTTCACACATAGATTTTCAGTAAAATTGTATGAAATAGATAAATGATCAATAAGTATAAATGTCAGTGTAGCAAGTAAAAGATATGGATTCTAGTTCTGCTTCCTCCGAATGACCTTGGAAGAATCACACATCCTCTCCAAGTTTCAATCAAATTCAACATCTATAACTTTCCAGTCCTGTCTATCTCCCAGAGCTTTGGGAGGAACAGAAAAGAGGTAATGTGTGTAAAACTATGTGTGGGGTGTGTGTGTGTGTGTGTGTGTGTGTGTGTGTGTGTGTGTGTGTGTGTGTGTGTGTGTGGTGGTGGTGGTGGTGCTGGGGGATCAAACCCCTTTACTACATCATCTTTGAGACCAATTCTCAGTGCTATAATTCTAAAAAAATGGACACCTCATTTAGTTTAGTGCATGGTGAGTGGCTGTTTGTTTGATGGGTTATTTTGTTTGTTTTTGAGACAGTCTTACTGTGGTGCTGGACTGAGGCTTTGAACTAGGTCCAGTGGAAACCTTGTCTGTTTACTTTAGTGAGTGACTGGATGTCTTAGGGAAAGTGCTCATGTATCACTTTCTACTATCCCAAAGCAGAGTCTATCCTGGCTTGGAGTCTGGATTAAAAGCAGTCTGGTGAATCAGCCCTGTAGTGACAGCTCAGACACCAAAAGGCACTATTTATAATCTTGTCAGGAAACTCAGAGATAAGGAAAAAGAAAGTTGCTTTGCCAGGTCTTTAAACTGGGTTGCAGTGCAGCAGTTCCTAAAGGTTGCTGTATCTGAGAGTTACCAGGGTGAACACATGTTATACATGTTATAATGCTAAAGATCTTACAATTAGGAGGAACCTTCCTAAAAAAAGGGCAGGTGGTGATAGCCCACATCTTTTTTTTTTTGGTTTTTCGAGACAGGGTTTCTCTGTGTAGCTTTGCGCCTTTCCTGGTACTCGCTTTGGAGACCAGGCTGGCCTCGAACTCACAGAGATCCGCCTGCCTCTGCCTCCCGAGTGCTGGGATTAAAGGCGTGCGCCACCACCGATAGCCTACATCTTTAATCCCAGCACTCAGGAGGTAGAGGCTGGTGGATCTCTGAGTTCCAGGCCAGTCTGGTCTACAAAGTGAGTTCCAGGACAGCCAGGGCTACACAGAGAAACCCTGTCAGAAAAAAAACAAAAACAAACAACAACAACAAAACAAGAAGTATAAACCTTACAACATTGGATATAAACGTTGGTCAAGGTCCATGGGACCTGAAATATTAGTAATTTCACAATAAATCAACCTCTGCTTATAAAGCTTGTTTTTAAATTTATTTTTACGTTTAGGTGGCAGTTTGTGTGTACACCATATGTGTACCCAAGGGGGCCAGAAGAGGGCATTGTAACCCATGGTACTGGAGCTACAATGTAGTTGTGAGCACCCTGTGTGGGTGCTAAGAACTGCTCTTAACTTCTGAGCCATCTCTACAGCCTCCTAAGGGAGTTTATTAAAAAAAAATTAAGAATAAGATGAGCATGGCATAGCCGGGCGGTGGTGGCGCACGCCTTTAATCCCAGCACTCGGGAGGCAGAGCCAGGCGGATCTCTGTGAGTTCGAGGCCAGCCTGGTCTCCAAAGCGAGTTCCAGGAAAGGCGCAAAGCTACACAGAGAAACCCTGTCTCGAAAAACCAAAAAAAAAAAAAAAAAAAAAAAAAAAAGATGAGCATGGCATTAACGTAAGCCTATAGTCCAAGCTTCTTGGAAAGCTGAGACAGAAGGATGATTTGAGGTAAAAAATTTAAGCCTAGTCTGGGCACCAGAACCCATCTGAGCAATAGTAATGATAATAAAGATCTCTGGTCCTACTCTAGACATGAGACATTTTGATTCAGTATATCTGGGTCCCAGAAATACATATTTCCTCTCTCCCCAAGTTCCTCCCCCACCCCGCATGTCTCTGTCTCTCTTTCTTCTTCTTTGTTTGTTTTTGTTTTTGTTTAGATGGTATCTCCTGTAGCCCAGGGTGGCCTCAGATGTCCTATATAGCCGAAGCTGAGGCTGCCCTTCAACTGTTGACTCTTCCTCTGCCTCCATCGTGCTAACTGTATAGGTGTAGACTACCAAACGCAGCCAAATAACTATGCAGTTTTTGCTTTGTTTTGTTTGTTTGCCTGTTTGTTTTTTGGCTAGCCTGGAACTCACTATGTATACCAGGCTGGCCTAAATTCATAGAGATCTACCTGCCTCTGCCTCTGCCTCCTGAGTGTTGGGATTAAAGGTGTGTGCTACCACATCTGGCCAGTTTTTTGACACGGAATAATTCATCACATTTGCTTTATGTTAATATTCTGATGTGCCCCTTGAAATCCTACCCCTTGGCACCGTCCTGCATCCTGATGTAAAAGCCTTACTCTCTCTCTCTCTCTCTCTCTCTCTCTCTCTCTCTTTTGTTTTTTCAAGACAGGGTTTCTTTGTGTAGCTTTGCGCCTTTCCTGGAACTCGCTTGGTAGTCCAGGCTGGCCTCGAACTCACAGAGATCCGCCTGACTCTGCCTCCTGAGTGCTGGGATTAAAGGTGTACGCCACCACTGGCTAGCTAAAAGCCTTATTCTGAGGAAAAACTCCTCCCCTTCCTCTCTCTTCTGCTTTTCTTCCCACGAGGTGCGCACTCTCGACCTCTTTCTCTCTCTTTTCTTCTCTCTCTCTCTCTCTCTCTCTCTCTCTCTCTCTCTCTCTCTCTCTCCCCTTTCTCTTCATCTCTCTATTATAATAAACTCTCCACATGGATGCATCATTTGGGTTGTGAATTACTGGCCACTTCTGCTACCACCATGTCTGCATGGTATGCATCTGCCCAGCATGTTTCCCTGCACACTCAGGATACCCTCTGAGGTCCCCCTGCACATGCGGGACACCCTTGGGGGTCCCCCTGCACAATAATTCATAACACTTTATAACTGAAGCATTTGACTACATCTCACCACTTACAGGCTACCATTGTTTTGTCTAAACAAATGGCATAAACGATGTAGAGAATACTTCCCTTCTCAGGCTGAGAGTCCAACTGGGACTCAGTTGTCCCAGGTTGCTGGTCTTCCTTCCTTTCCCTTCTCCATAACCATTGCCATTGGCACAGCCTTCTGGCTCTGAGGCAGGGACTCTGAAACAAACAAACAAACAAACAAACAAATGGATCGTTATCCTCTCAGTGGCTGATACACATTTGATTATCTTCCAACCTCATGTCAAGCCATTTAAAAGAAATAATACTTTATTATCTTACACTCCCCCCTTTCACCCTCCTTCTCTCAAATAACCTGACTGGCCTCAATTTTGCAATATAGGCGAGGCCAGCCTGGAATTCCTGGTCTGCTCCCCACCCTCCAAGTGCTAGGATTCTAGAAAAAATGCTCATCTCTAAGGAAGACCCTAGAACTCCACTGTCTAGAGAGTGGGGAAAAGGAGCTCACATTAAGAGAACACCTTCGATGTACCAGGGCCTTTCAAATGGGATCCCGTTTAACTTCCACAGCTGCAAGCAAGGCAATAATCAGGAGTCCTGTTTTACAGATACGGCAGCTGTAGAACGGAGAGGTCAAGCAACTTTTCACCAGCCGCTCAGCTAGCGTTTGCTTTCCTTATGTTCTGCTGCCTTTCCAACAGAAAGCAATCTTTATTGATCAAGCCAGGGACCCAGTTCATCAGTATACGTCAGCAAACTTACTGGGCATGGGACTTCAAAGATTACAAATACTATAATGATGACTCCACTGAGCAGCAGAGTAGCAGCAATCAGAGCTTTGGTGACAATACTCCATTTCTGCCTCTCCTTTAAGGACACATCTGTGTCTGAAAGGAAAGAGGGATGGAGGGGAAGAAAAGAGAGCATGAGCAAAGCTCACCTTGACTGCAAGTTCTCCTCATTCAGACTAACCAGGGACACCTGACTCAGACAGAGCCTGGATTTCCACCTGGGGCTCAGAGTCAGGCAGGGTGGCAGCATGGCCTCTTCACTAGCCTCTCTTATGAATGGGCCACCTTCCTAGAATTTGGATTCTCCAGAGTCATGCATACTGATTCTAGCACTGTTCTTGAGAGGAAAAGGCTTGGGTGCACAAGGAGTGCTTAACCCTTTGTTCCCAGTCAGTCCGCTTGAAGTTCCCAACCTTAAAACCAAAAATCCTATCTCCTTTCATCTCTAGCACTGAATACAGATAACCAACTACAAACAAGCACAGCGCAATCACCTTTATTTCACACCTGGTGGCACACACCTGTCACCCTAGCACTCAGGAGGCAGAGGCAGGCAAGTCTCCAAACCCAAGGCCAGCCTGACCTAGTTAATGAGTTCCAGGCTAGCCAGGGCTACAGGGCGAGACCCTGTCTCAAAAAGAAACAAACAAAAACTACCTTTTTGGTATTAGGACAGTGTGGGAAGAACAAAGGTGAATTGTCATTGCTTTTGAATCATAAGTCAAATCCAGGGCAGAAGGCTCATACCTATTATGTTATTACTGACCTCATATTTACTTTTCCACTGGTATGAACCTGGGATGTAACCCAAACTTGACTCTTATAGAACTTGAGTCTTGGCCAATTTGGTAAGGGCTATTTTCAAAAACAGTGAAGAGGAAAACATGTGGTTGGTTGGTGTCATCTTTGTTAATAATTGCTTGGTATTTAAATATACATCTATATATGCAAGTGGCTGGCATCATGTACCAGTTGGATTTAGTCCGTTTCCAATCTGGCTACAGAGTGAATTCACTTTCATGGAGGTAGGGGATTACCATTTTAAAGAAAAGACTTATTATTTTTATTTATATCTGTGCCCGTGTGACTCGATGTGCACTGTGTGCATACGGGTACCCTCAGGGACCAGCGAGCATCAGATCCTTTGGAACTAGAATGACAGGTGGTTGTGTAAGATACCTGATGTTGGTGCTGAGATCTGAAGCTGGGTCCTTTACAACGTATCTACAAGATGGTTCTTAACCACCGAGCCATCTCTCCACCCCCAAGGTAAAAGATTATTGACTGTGCCAAACTACAGATGTTTCTGGGAACTTCCTTATGGAGAACCGTTTTTTCCCCTATTCAAACATGGATAATATTTAATATAAATTTTTAAATATAAAATAACTTCTCAACCTCCAAGAAAGTCCCAGGAGACCTAAGTAATATTGGAGCTCAAATGTCTCCCTTTCTTCCTGGTCTTGCTTTGCCACCTCTCCTTAATCTGTACCTTGTGACAAAGGGCTGGAAGAGCCCCCAGTGCTTGTAGTTTTCTCTCCTTTACTTCTAGCAGCTGTGGAGGTGGTAGTGATGGGCACCGTCTCTGATGAAGCAGATCTACCCTTTGCTGGGTAGACCTTGCACTGATAGATCCCCGGTAAGAAAGCTGTAAAACAAAAAAGAAGCAGCAGATGGACACCTGTAGGGCGGCATCATCCTGCTTTGGTTTTACCTGATGAAACTCCAGCTCTACTCCCTTCATACTACATTTCTACCTGTGACCCCATTGGCCTGTATGTTCATAGGTTTTAGGTGTAGGCACAGAATAATGCCAAGAATAAATGAGGCCAGAGGTACTAAGAAGAGATGTGAATTAAATCCCCAGGAGTCCTTTGACTATAATCAGAGGGAAGGAGTGAGCCATATCTTGCTTGCCTATCATTCTTGAGGTCATCATAATAATAAAGGTGGAGGGTGTAACGCTGCTGAGTTTCCTTCATTAATAGAGGTGGTTCCAAAGTCCAGGGAAGAACAGGAAATGCATCTGCTCAATGCCCGCGGCAGGTCTGCTAGTGGGGTCCAGTCAACTACTCTGAGAAGGCAGTGGGGAAAGCCAGAGCAGCTAGGAGAGGGATGGGCACCCAGCCGCACATTCTCCTCAGTTTCATTCATTTAATGTTCAAACCAGAGTCTACTATGTGCCAGAAATGCTTCAGTATTTTATATCAGTTGCATTCATAATAACAAGAGAACAAACAAAAAGGGCAGGGGTCAGGGCAGAGGAAGCAGAGACAACAATGACTATCATATATTTTATGGCTAGGTGTAGTGACACCTGCCTATAGTTCCAGCACTCAGGAGACTGAGGTAGGAGGATAACCTTGATTTTAAGGCCCACATGGGCTACATAGTGAGTACCAAGCCAGCCACAGCTAAATAGCAGGACCCTGCCTCAAAAAACAAACAAACAAAATTAGGATAAGTGCTACTTAAAAACTTAAAACTAGAGCTGGGCATAGTGGCACATGTCTTTGATCCCAGCACTCGGGAGGCAGAGGTCAGCCTGGTCTACATAGTGAGTTCTAGGACAGCCAGGGCCACAAAGAGAGACTCTCTCCCAAAAACATCAATCAATCGATCGTTCTAGAACAAGAAGACAGTCATGGTAGCTCAGCCCTGTAATCCCAGCACTGGTGAGACTGAGTTGGAGTATTACCAGGAATTAAAAGCCATCCTTGTGAGTTCCTAGCCAGTCTGAGCTACAAAATCAGGCACGGGAGAGATGGCTTGGTGGTTAAGAGCACTTGCTGCTTTTACAGAGGACCTGGGTTTGGTTCCCAACACTGCATCAGGCCATTCACAAATGCCTATGATTTCAGTTCTAGAAGATCCAGTGCTCTCTTCTAGCCTGTGTTGGCACCCATATACGTGTGATACACATACATGCATGTAGGTAGACACACATAATTTAAAAAACAAATCTTTAAAAACCAAAACCACCCAGTTGTTGTTGGTGTATGCCTCTAATCTCAACAGAGGCAGGCAGATCTCTGAGTTTGAGGCCAACCTGGTCTATAGAGCAAGTTCCAGGACACCCAGGGCTACACAGAGAAACGCTGTCTCAAAAAAGCCAAACAGGTGGTGCACACCTTTGATCCCAGCACTCGGGAGGCAGAAGCAGGCAGATTTCTGTGAGTTTGAGGCCAGCCTGGTCTACAGAGTGAGTTCCAGGACAACCAAGGCTACAGAGAGAAACCCTGTCTCGAAAAACCAAAAGCAAACAAACAACAATGGCAAACCAACCAACCAAACAAAAAACAAAAATTTCCTGCAAGATAAAGTAGTTTGAGTAGTATTCATAGGTAATAGTTGGGCAACCTGCAGTGTAGGCCAAGCCTCTCTGAGATTAGAACTGAGCCAAGACTTGAGGGAAGTAACGTAGGTGGAGGGGACAGTGGGGATAAAGCCCCCAAGGCAGAGTGTGTCTGACAGGTTACAGCTGTAGGGAAGCAGTGAGGCAGCCACACAATTCCACCTGCTTACAGAATGGGCCTAATCCAGTTCAGACAGTGGTGGCTATTCCTCTCCAAACCCTCACCCCTTTTTACTTAAAAGACAGGGTATGACTATGTAGCCCATACTAGCATCAAAGTCACTATGTAGCCAGACTGGCCTCAAACATGAAGTGAGACTCCCGCCTTCCCAACTACTGAGGTTATAGGTGTGCCACCAAACCTAGTCTTCTATTCCATTTGAAATGTATTATTTACTGGGAGGTGGTGCATGCCAAGGTGTCCATGTGGAGGTCAGAGGACAACGTTGTGAAGGTGGTTCTCCTATGTTTATTTGGGTGCTAGGGTTCAAACTCAGGTAGTCAGGCTTGGATCATTGGGCAGCAAGCACCTTCACCCTCGGAGCCGTCTTGTGGGCTCTTGTTCCAGTTTGCATGGTTTCTTATCATTACTTTTCTTTAGCTTTTCTAAATTGCTCTTTTTGTTTTGTTTTGTTTTGTTTTTTCTCTGTGTAGCCCTGGCTGTTCTGGAACTCACTCTGTAGACCAGGCTGGCCTCACAGAGAATCTCTTGAACTCACAGAGCTCCTCCTGCCTCTACCTCCTAAGCGCTGGGATCAAAGGTGTGCACCACCACTGCCTGGCTCTACATTACTTTTACAGGTTTTACATCCTTTTAAATTGCCATTTGTTGTTGTTGTTAATCACCAGAGATACTGAACAACATGGCAAGTAAAACAGTAGAATGACACTTTTAACAGTTGTATAGAGGGGAGCAATCAGACTTAGGCAGCTTTCAATACCAGTCATCATACAGCAAATTACAGGAGAAATAGTGGTCCCTGATTGCAGTTTAACTGGGAGACAGTGTTGGCCTCCACGCCTGGCCCCAGTCAGTTCTCTTAAGTGGTAACATGCATGTTTGAAGATAAGCAAAACTCACTTTGGACAAGTTACATGATTTCTGAGTTTTGGTTTCCCAGTTTGTAATATGGTTATAATAAAAAATAATTGCTGTAACTAGTTCTCAGAGGTGCTGTAAAGGTCAGAAACAAAAATGAGAAAGCAGGTGTGAAAACACTTTGCAAGCTGAGCGAAATGGGATTGAAAGATAAGAGAAAGCCTAGAGACTGTCTCCCTAAGCAGAACAACTGTGGTAGCCAGAGGGATAATGGCATAGAGACATATGGCCTGTATTCCCACCTGCTGAGAAATGTGACTTCAGAGTCTACTGAATAGGCTTCATCTGTCAGTGTACTTTCAGTCCTCTGAGTTAATGGCCATCCCTGTTGGCAGCTCATCTCTTTCGGGTCTTATCTCTGAAGTAACTGAGCATCAAGGGAGAACAGGTTTGAAAATATATTTTATTTCCACCGGGTGGTGGTGGTATACACCTTTAATCCCAGCACTTAGGAGGCAGAGGCACGTGAATCTCTGCCTTCAAGGCAATACAGAGTGAGTTCTAGGACAGCCTGGGCTATACAGAGAACAACCCTGCTTCAAAAAAAGAAAAAAAAATCACTTTATTTCCATTGATGATTGAATTGCACCATTAGTTTTTCTCTAGCTAAAGTTATTTGAACAAGAATGCCCCATTTTAAGGCAGGCATGCTGGCACATACCTCTAACTCCAGCATCAGGAAGGCAGAGGCAGGAAGGTCAATGCAAGTTGAGATCAGCCTGGTTTACTTGGAAGTTTCATGCTACCTAGGGTTACAGAATGAGACCCCGCCTCAAAAACAACCCACAAGAACATCCCAGTTTGCTGAGCATGGTGGTACTCACCTTTAATCTCAGTGTTCTAGAGGAGAATCATGAGTTCAAGGCCAATCTGGCCTATATACAGAATTCTAGGCAAGTGAGGGCTGCATAGTAAGACTTTGGTTTTTTTTTTTATTAGCATAGAAATACCCCAATTTAAGGAGTTTTGTTTTTAAAAATCCAACTTTATGAAATTCCTAAAGACAATAATAATTCATAGTTCTAAAAGATGCTTTGTTTTACAAAATAATTTTTAAATAACATTAAATACATTTAATCCATTTTCATATAAATTTAATATAACTTTTTGTTTGGTTGGATTTTGAGATAGGATCTGGTTATGTAGCCCAAGTTAAACTTGAACTAGCTATGTATTATTATTATTATTATTATTATTATTATTATTATTTTTATAGTTTCACTATGTAACTAGACTGCCCTCAAACTCCATGTCCTCCTGCCTTTGCTTCTCAAGTACTGGGATTGCAGACATATATCACCAAGTCTGGATAAATACATTATATTTAAAGAGAAGTGTCATTTCTTGGTCAACCTCTGTAAGTTTGAGGGCAGCCTGGTCTACATAGTGAGCTCCAGGACAGCCAAGGCTAGGTAGTGAGATCCTATCTGAAACAAACAAAAAATAATAAATAGAGGTGTCTCTTAGAGATTATTGTACAATAACACTCACAGGTTGGAGGGCCATTTGGGAGTCCTTACATGTTGCTGTTCGGTTTGTTCTCTGTCTAACCCTCTGTATATCTGAAAACTAGACCGTCTAGTCAGCCCTCCCAGTTGTAACTGTAGGAGCTGAGCACTGGGAAACACATGACTTGCCAAAGGTGATAGTTAACATCATAATAAACACTAGTTTAATGCCACTTATGACTTCCATAACCCACAGTTTCATATGAGGTAACCAGACCCTAGGAGTCAGTTCACACTAGTCAGATAATAAAGATCCTAATCCATTTACTAAAATGACACTTGAAAAAAAAGTCACATAGCCCAGAATTGGTGGTGTACGCCTTTATTCCCAGCACTCGGGAGGCAGAGGCAGGCGGATCTCTGTGAGTTCGAAGCCAGCCTGGTCTACAGAGCAAGCTCCAGGACAGGCACCAAAACTACACAGAGGAAACCCTGTCTTGAAAAACCAAACCAAACCAAAAAAAACCCAGATAGGTCTCTATGAATCCTGATGGGTAACTGGAAAGCTTCTAAATATAAAATCTGAGCAATAGGAACAGGAACTGTATTGTTACTGATTGTCCCAGTTCCCTTTATGTTGTTGTGAGAAAAGCAACTTAGGCATGTACTCTATCAACTGAGCTATAGCCTCAGCCACTGCCTTATGTTTCTTTTCTACATTTTATGTTTGGTCCATGTCTTATGAAGACCAACTGTGTTGTGCCAAGTTCTTATCCTTACAATTCCACATTCTTACTTACTTTGAGGATATTTTCATTATTGTCAGTTGATTGTATTTTAGACCTTTCCTCTGCAGGCTGACATCAGCCAGAGTGGCAACTTCAGAGTGCATCTCTCCTGGGACCTTCTAAATCTGACCGTTTTCCTAGTTTTTATTTCTAACCTATTTGAGATCTGTCACATCTTGGTGATTTAGTGTGGTTTAAATTCAGAACAGGCATCTTCAGACTGTGTGAGAGAGTTCCTTTCAAAAGTCCATTATAAGATACTTGTTTGGAATTTGTCAGCATGGTTTCATAGAAACATACTTTGAATGTATGGTGAATGGTGATGAGGACCCCAACTAACCTACAAATATCCATTTGGTCTCTTTACACGACTCACATTGTATAGGGTACTGCCTCAGATTCTGGATCTCAGAACCTTTGCCTTGAGCAAGCATCGGGGAGAAGGAGGAAGACTCTTCCTCTTGGAGAGAGCTCAAAGCCCAGAGGTCACCCAAGGCAAGCAGTTTCAATAGGGCAGGTTGATCTTTGGCAACTTTCCTCTCCCCAATTTAACCCCCTCAGTTTTCCTGGTTCCACATTTCTAACAGCTAATGCCCTTCATTACCTCAGCCCCACAGTGCATAGCATGGTATAGTGCCACTCAGAGAACGGCAGAACGGACAGTGACTGAAGGCCAGTGCTGTGGTCAGTTCAAGGGTGTCACACGGTAAGAGGACGAGGTCCACATGAATTGATATTGACTGGTTTTGGGGTTTTAAGGGCCCTCCCAGTGGTAGAGTTTAATTAACTAGTTAATTTTTCTTCTCTCTCTCTCTCTCTCTCTCTCTCTCTCTCTCTCAAGAGGACCTCATATAGCCCAAGCTGGCTTCAAAAATCAATAGGTTGTATAATGGGATTATAGGTGTGCCCCACCATGCCTGGCTTTTAGGGGTAGAATTTTGTAAATTATAATAAAGTGACTGAAACATTCAAGTCATGTAAGGATAAATATTTATTGTTCTTGGGCAATATTCCAAGAGAATGTCTGCCCCCTTATTTCTTCATTTCTAGTCTATGTTTTAAAAGTTTATTTCGGCCGGGCGGTGGTGGCGCACGCCTTTAATCCCAGCACTCGGGAGGCAGAGCCAGGCGGATCTCTGTGAGTTCGAGGCCAGCTTGGGCTACCAAGTGAGTCCCAGGAAAGGCGCAAAACTACGCAGAGAAACCCTGTCTCGAAAAACCAAAAAAAAAAAAAAAAAAAAAAAAAAAAGTTTATTTCTTCTCTGTGAGTTCGAGACTAGCCTGGTCTACAGAGCGAGTTCCAGAACAGCCAGGGCTACATACAGAAACCTTGTCTTGAAAAACAAACAAACGGACAAAGTTTATTTCTACCTTGTTCTGCTTGTGATCCTTCTACTTCCCAGTCTCTCTAAGCACTGAGTGTTCTTTTTCCAGCAGTAGAGCGGCAGAGTCTAAATGTCCGCCTTTGCGAAGGGGGAGCTATATACTCATCTACTGATCAGAAACTACTTGACAGAGATGATAAGAAGAAGAAAAGGATGGCAGAAGTGGGAATCAAGAGCTGCTGCTGTTGGGGAACAAGCCGTTCCACACAGTGTAGACTGGATGGAAACTGGAACCACCTATGTGGGGGCTAAATGAGCACCAGCTACTGGCTGTCAGTGTGGCAGTTCTGCTTCTTGGGATTCATTTTCTTGATAGATAGCAGATACATAAGAGGACTGTCCAAGGTCATTGTTTGTATTAGTAAAAGAATGGAAATAGCCAAAATTCTGCCAGTGGAGAACTAGGGAAATAAATTGCAATTTAGTAGAATACCCTTAAAAAGAATGAGGTAGGGCTGGTGACATAAATGTGCTCAGAAATAGGACATGTGCTTAGCATGTTCAAGGCCTTGGATTCAATATTCCACAACCCAACCATACAGGAGTCAAATTTATGGATATGGACATGGAACAAACCCATGCATGAGGAAAGCCAAGGTATGGAAGAGGGTGCATAGTGTGGTACTACCTATACTTTTCACATATGCAAATGAGCTGGGTTTGGTGTCTCATGCCTGTAATTCCAGTAGAGGGAGGAGTTTCAGGAGTTCAAAGATAGCCCTAGATACACAGCAAGTTATAGGCCATCCTGGGCAGTATGAGGCCTTGTCTGAAGGGGGGATGTATGCCCACCTATTGGTGGGGGCTTTGGAAGGAAACACATTAGGTAATAGTGGTTCCTTCTATCCTCAGAGACAGAACTGGAGGCCTGAGACACAGGAGTAGGAGGGAGAATTATTTTTCACTATAAATAAATATGTGCTGTTTGTATATTTCACTGTGTGCACTACAAATAAGCACATTTCACAAAAGATTGGTGTTTTTTTAAAATTTTTTGTTTAGTTATAGTTCTAGCTATCCTGGAAATCACTATGTAGAGCTGGCTGGCCTCAAACTCACAGAGATCCTCCTGCCTCTGCCTCCCAAATGCTGGGATTAAAGACGTGCTCTACACCTGTCCCACAACTATTGTTAAAAGAAGACACACCCACCAGCAAGGTGGTGCACACCTTTAATCCCAGCATTTGGGAGGCAGAGAAAGGCAGATCTCTGAGCTTGAGGCCAGCCTGGTCTACAAATCGATTTCTAGGACAGACAGGGCTGTTACACAGAGAAACCCTGTCTCAAAAACAAGCAAACAAAAACATAAGAAGGAGGAGGAGGAAGAAGAGGAAGAGGAAGAAGAGGAAAAGGAAGAGGAGGAGGAAGAGGAGGAAGAAGAAGAAGAAGAAGGAGGAGGAGGAGGAGGAGGAGGAGGAGGAGAAGAAGAAGAAGAAGAAGAAGAAGAAGAAGAAGAAGAAGAAGAAAAAGAAGAGAAAAGAAAAGAGAAGAAGAATCAGAAGAAAGAAGACCCACCCATCAGAAGTGAAGACCAGCTAGGCATTTAATTCCAGCACTCAGGAGGCAGAAGCAAATAGATGGATGTAAGTTTGAAGCTAGCCTGGTCTACACAAGCAGTCTAGGCCAGCCAGGGATATATAGTAAGAACATGTCTCTAAAAACTTTTTAGATCTTATAAATATCACAGGCCACTAGGGCTAAAAGGAGTCTTAGAAATTAGAAATGTGGGGCCTGGGGTCAGTGAAGTAGATCAGTGGATAAGGGCATTTGCCACCAAACCTATTTGGTCTGACTCCCGAAGGTGTACACACACACACACACACACACACACACACACACACACACACACACACACACTAAACAAGTAAACATATAAATATAATTTAAAATTATTGTTAAAGAAATTAGAGAGGACACTGATTTTTCCCAAGGGGAGAACAGTAGGTTTCACTGTGGCTTTGGCTACTAATAAAACACTGGCCACCAAGGATGTCAGCTGTAAGTTAGTGCCAACCTACCTCTCTCAGCTCTTTGGTCTCACTTTACCTGTTAGAAGGGATCCATTCTGAAACTGGGACGTGGGCATGAGGTGACAGCTTGGGGAGGCCTTGCTGTTTCTATGGTGGACGCTCAGGTTCTTCAGCGTGTACTTGACCTTTGGCCTTCCCTCTGAATACACAAGGTGGACTCTCACTCTCCTCCCAGAGCCAAGGCACTGCAGGGTAGCTATGGTCTGATTTTGGATGAACCGGGCCCCTTGGACATCTGTGTGAATTTCTGGAAGAACTAAGCAGAAAAACAAGGCTGGTTCTTAACTGCACAGTGCGTAGATAACCCGCTTTCCTCCATGACTCCTGCCAAATTCCACGGCCGGCCGCACTCTGCCCTCCTTTGGCTCATCTCCCTCTCCGTCTGCGTTCAGGGTACTAACTGTGCAGGTTCTGCTTTTCTTCCTGCAAGGAGCTGTGAAGATAAGAGACTGCAGTAACTCCAGCACAGAGAAATGCCCGTGGATTGTTTTCTTACAGGCAGAGAGGGCTGAGTGCCATTTCCTTCTCTTCTTCATCCCCACCTGATGGGTACAGTCCTACTTAGGCAACAAGTTAATATAGAAATTCATTTCCAGACATTCTCCTGAGGAGCTGTATATCTCTAAAATAGTAAATTTGAGATCTGGACTAAGAAGTGTGGAGAAAAGGCATTTTTAAATTTTATTTTATGTGTATGAGTATTTTGCCTGCATGCATATGCATATCCCCTGGAACTGGAATTACTGACAGTTGTGAGCTACCATGTGGGTGCTGGGAATTGAACGCAGGTCACCTAGAGGAGCAGCCCATGCACTTAACTGTTTAGCCATTGTTACAGCCCTGAAAAGGCATTTTTTTTTTTTAAGATTAAAAAGAAAATCCTGGGATAGCAGAAGTATTTTTCAGAAAGGTCTTCATTCCCTACCTCTTATTACGAAATCCATTTGGCTTCTCATATCCTTTGGGAAGAAGCTGGGTAGCTGTTCCACTTGGCAGCTGCTCTCTCTGGGATCTAGGAAGGAAAAAAGGGGGTCAGGATGTAGTGGGTCCTCCTCTCTTTAGAATTCCGAGACAGGGGAAGAGATGAAGTTCCTGCTTATAAAACTTAGAACTGAGCCGGGCGGTGGTGGCGCACGCCTTTAATCCCAGCACTCGGGAGGCAGAGCCAGGCGGATCTCTGTGAGTTCGAGGCCAGCCTGGACTACCAAGTGAGTTCCAGGAAAAGGCGCAAAGCTACACAGAGAAACCCTGTCTCGAAAAAAACCAAAAAAAAAAAAAAACCAAAAAAAAAAAAAAAGAAAAAAGAACTGGGGAGATCAAAATACTCGTGAAAAGTGATTTTAAAACACATGGCCAAATTATTTAAGTAGGAATTGTCCCATTATAAAGAAAACTGAGTACCAATATATTTTTTAAGTAAAAGTGAGAGGTGTAATTACTAAGTTAATGAAAGAATAACCCACCCAGTTTATTTTGTCTTCTGTTCTATCTGCCTGCTGTATGTTTTTTAAAATCAAGACAGGGTTTCTCTGTATAGTCCTAGCTGTCCTAGAACTCATTCTGTAGACCAGGCTAGCCTTGAACTCAGAGATCCGCTGACACCACTGCTCAGCTTCTGCTTCATGTATTTAGGAGAGAACCTTGAAGGTTTGTTATGTACTCCCTGGGATACAGGCTCCCTATAGATTTCCACAGAGCTAGAGATCATAGCTGTTTCTGCTTTTGTGGTACATTGTTCACAGTGTGTGGAAATTTTCTTCCTCAGCTTTTCTTATTTTCTTTTTGAGATAAGGTCTCCCTAGGTAGCTCTGACTGGCCTGGAACTAGCTCTGTGGACTAGGCTGGCCTTAAATTCAGAGAGCTACCTGACTCTGCCTTCAAGTGCTGAGATTGAGAGCATGCTGTAGTGGCTAGAGGCTGGCTCAGTGGCTAAGGGCACTGGCTGCTCTTGCAGAGGACAAGAGTTTAATCCCCAGCTCCCACATGGTGGTTCACAACTATTCCTAACTCCACTTCCAGGGGATCTGGTACTCTTTCCCTCCCTCCATTGGCACCAATGCACAGACATCCATGCAGGCCAAACATTCACACATAAAATAAAATGAATAAATCTAATACAAAATTGAAAAGGCATTCCCTACCACATCTAGCTTCAGCTGCTTGGAAGAGGAGGAGGAGGAGGAGGAGGAGGAGGAGGAGGAGGAGGAGGAGGAGGAAGAAGAAGAAGAAGAAGAAGAAGAAGAAGAAGAAGAAGAAGAAGAAGAAGAAGAAGAAGAAGAAGAAGAAGAAGAAAGTTGTATCTCACTCTGTAGCCTAGGCTGGCTTTGCTCTGATGGCAATCCTCCTGCCTCCATCTCTCAGGTACTTGGGTCACAGGTGTAACTTTCCTTAACTTGCATAAGCACACTACTGCTGCACCTTATACTATTTTGATTTAACCTCCAGCTAGCTAATTTTAGAGAAATGTTTAGGAAACTCTGAAAAAAAAATCCTATTTTAAATAAACATTTACTACCAGAGCTGGGGCAGAGCTCAGTAGTCCAGCACTTGCCTAGCATCTTAAGGCTGGCTTTCAAGCCTCAGTACAAAACAAACAAAAAAACCTCATCAATCAACCATTACCAAAGAGTAGCAAACAGTGCCACTCCACCCCCATATCAACTTTCCCTCAGCTCCTCCCCATTAACATCTCTATTTCAACTATTTGAGTGTACTACCTGAAAAATGAAGGCAACATCTCACGAGGGGTTATGAACTTAAGAGCCCTAGGTGAGGCTATTTACAAAACGGTGTCACCATCTCACAATGAAAGCTATCTTATCATGTTTTTATTGTTATCCCTGTAAGCAAGGAAAAGGAAGGCACCACATTCCCTGAAGACTTCTCATGAAATGGACAGATGTCTCCTTGGTCTTAATAATCAGATGTATGGGGTAATTCCTGCAATGTACAACTTGTTGGGTATTGGCTATATTCCTATCTGATGGAAGAGGCTCCAAAAGCTCTCTGGGCTTCCTTTTGGATGTTCTAGCATATTAGGCTAGAGGAGCACTTACCGTTCTTGTTGGAATCATAGGATGCAGCGATGAGACTGAAGATTAAGATGGTATCCATGCCAATCTGAGCTCATGAGCACTTCCTGCCTATAGCCCACTGTTACTCCGTCATAGCCCCGTATAGCCTTGCCTCTTGTTGCTTTTACTGTCCTGGAACCAAGTTGCACTCTGACTATCTGGTTCTACCCTGACTATTTTACCCTGTTTCCTGAAGACCCAGGAATATAGCTGATTGGAGAAAAAGCCCAATCTGCTTATTAATGATTGACTTTGAAGGTCCGGCCCAGCTTCACTGCTGCCAACTTGAGAACTGTCATTATCTAAAGATTTTCCTAACAGAAAGGGCATAAACACCCAAAGATATGCTCCATAAATACTTGCAGATAGACACGTACTCATTCACAGTTGTGCTCTCTGATGGAGGCACATAGCTATACACACCAACATTAAGCAATACGGAGATGCCTATTAAGAAGTACAATTTCTAGGAGAGAGGAAGAAACTAGGACTGAATGAGTCAGTGCCTTATGTTGGGGAGAACACTGGACTTTAGGAATCAGTAGAACTGAGTTCTAGTTTACGCCAGTTTGGCCACCTTGGGGAAATTATTTGGCTACACAGGATCTCAGTTTTTCCCTTGTATAAACTGAATGTCATCCAAAAGATCTCTGGAATTCATTTACAGTTATAACCATAAGTTCATATGAGCATAGGAATATCTATAAAATTGTGTATTTTTCACACTTATGAATAATGGAATGAGTATAGTTAAAACAACTTTCTTATGGCAATTGGGTCAAGAGATTGTGAGAAAGCTATATATGTTGCATGAGTGGTACTGTCTACAGCTGGGAATAGCTGCTATTGAATTTCCCCCCCAAAATTGTTTCTTTTAGAAAAGAGTATGTAATTAGTATTAAGCTCTAAAGATTTTTTAAAGAGGTCTTCCCTCACAGCCCAGACTTTCTTGAAACTCATTCTGTAGTCTAGGCTGGACTTGAACCTAGGATCTTCTTGCTTTTGCCTCCCAAGAATGGAGACTACAGCTGTGTACCACTATGCCTGACTAAAGACTTCTTGATAGCATAGCTAGGTGCGATCATAAAAAAGGACACATCTAATTAGATATTTGTTGATGTCCAGGGCCTTCACAGCCTTACTACCAGCTGCAAATATGCTTCTTTGAAGCCCACATGGGCTTGGCTATGCATGAGAAGATTCTGGAGGCTGAAACTCTTGATTGATAATCACATAAAGAGTTGGTTCAAAGGACTTTACATAAGGGGCTTTGTGCGATTTTAATCAAATTACTATTTAAGTAGCACCCTGTGTACTGACGCCTCTATACAGCTTGAAATCTGGCCAAACTAAGCATCAGAGTCTTGGTGGGAAACATTAATGGAAGGGAGATCCCTGAAGGACAGTTTGCTGGCTAAAATGGGGAAGGGATAAAGGAAGCCCTGGGCATCCAGCCCAGCAGCAAATCTCCCCTAGGCCTGCTTCTCTTCCTCTGCTGCAGTTGCTTGGTTCTTTCAACGCAGGAGAGCAGATTAAAGGGCTCCGTTGCTTTCCTGGGGTTTCATGATTTTTGTTGACTGTTCCCTTCCTGTGATCACATGATTCTCTACTCCCTTGTGGTTCTCTGTTGTTCTGTTTAAAATTTTCAGTCGCTGCCACATGACAGTGCTGCCACCTTGCAGCAAAGGTCGGAATGGATCTGAAGTCTCACTTCTCACCCTGTGTCATTGAAGAGGAAAATCTCATTTTTCCCAAAGCAATCTCATGCATGGCTAAAGACGAAATTGCAATTTTCGTTTATAAATTCTGGGAGACGTTTTCTTTTCTTTTCCTGTGTGTGTGTGTGTGTGTGTGTGTGTGTGTGTGTATACTAAGGACTGAACCTACTCATGGATGCCCTGAAGTCAAACTGAATGCTGAAATATGCACTCTGTGAAGCAGAGACACAAAACTAAAATTAAGACAAAATATCTAGTGGTAGAGATGCTGTGTCCAGTTGTGACCGACCTCTGAAAGAAAATAGGGAAAAAGGAAGGAACAGTCAGAGTGGGTCTGGAAGAGGAACCCTTGACCAGAAGCCAGGAGGCCTTTTAAGGTTCTAGTTGAGACCCCGTCATTGATTGAATTGTTTCAAGGAAGTTCCTTAACCTCTCTGGGCCTTCATTAGTTCAGTCCCTCTACCATGTGGGTTCTGGGAATTGAACTGAGGTTGCCAGGCTCAGCAGTAAGCACCTTGACCTGCTGGGCCATCTCACCAGTCTTCTTAATTAATTCATGTTTTGGGACACGGTCAAACTCGAACTTGTGACAGTCTTGCCTCAGTCTCCCCAGTGCTAGGATTATAGGGAAAACCTACCATGCCCAGTTTAGGAATAACTATTATCTAATTCTTATCACCACAAATGAGTTTTGGGTTTTTTTTTTTGTTTATTTTTTGTTTGTTTTTCATTTTTTGAGACAAGGTTTCTCTGTGTAGCCCTGGCTGTCCTGGAACTTGATCTGTAGACCAGGTTGGCCTTAAATTCACAGAGCTCCACCTGCCTTTGCCTCCTGAATGCTGGGATTAAAGGCATGTGCCACCACTGCCTGGTGAGTTTTGCCTGTTTTAAAAAGAATTTCTTATTAAAAATTTTAGGTTGTTCATGAAGTGTACCCTTTTGCCCAAACAGCTTTACTCTCAAATGTTCATTGCACTGAGTTGTTGGTCTGGTTAAAGCCTCTGGCTTCTGCTATACCATCGATACTGATACCGGACCCTCACGGAGATTCCTCTGGTATCCTGCTGTTGCCCTGAGTCATGGAGAGCCTTCCCCTCCACTTGTTCCAGCAACTCATAGATTTAAAAAACAATTCTTTTGGGGGGAGGCACAAGGGTAGAGGGCTGATATGTAAGGACTTGGAAGTGAGTGGGATTGGGGTACATGGTGTGAAATTCCCAAGAATCGATAAATAATTGATAAAAATTTTAGACTGGAAAAAAATTTAGACTGGAATAAAAAGCAATGGGAACCTTTGTGGCAACCTTCATATATATGAATCGTTATACTTTGTTCTCATTCATTCAGATTTTTGCCTCTTATTGTTTATTTATTTATTTATATATTTATTTTTGAGAGAAGGTCTTGCTATGTAGTCCTGACTGGCTTGCAACTTGGTATACAGACAAGGCTCACAGAGGTCTGCTTGCCTCTGTGTCCTGGAATTAAAGGGATATGTCATCACTCTGGCCTTTTTTTCCCCCCCCTCAAGACAAGGTTTCTCTGTGTAGCCCTGGCTATCCTGGAACTCGCTGTGTAGACCAGATTGGCCTCAAACTCACAGAGATCTGTCTGCCTCTGCCTCCCAAGTGCTGGGATTAAAGGTGTGTGCCACCACCACCCTGCTGCCTTGTCTTTTAAAATTAGAAACCTGTATATTTTTGTTTGTTTGTTTGTTTGTTCATTTATTTTGAGACAGTATTTCTCTACACATCCCTGACTATCCTGGAACTCAGAGAGATCTGCTTGTTTCTGCCTCCTGAGTGCTGGGATTAAAGGCAAGGCATACATCACTACTCCCAGCTCTGTTTTATTTTTTGCTCAGTACTAATTTTAAAATTGATTCACAATGTTTCATGTAGCAAGTTTTTGTTTGTACTTAGTGATTTACAATACCCCATTTTATGAATGTAGCACAATTTAATACTCTACTGTTATAATATTCTTGGAACTTATTTGAAGGTTTCCCAGGGTATAAATATAAAGGTTGAAGCTAGGTTAGGGGATATATAAGTTATGTTCAGCTTGACTATTTATAGTAAATTTAAAGATTTATTTATTTTATGTATATGAATGCTTTATCTGCATGTGTGACTTTATGCCAGAAGAAGGCATCAGATTCCACTAGAGATAGTTGTGAGCTACCATGTGGCTGCTGGGAATTGAACTCAGGACTTCTGGAAGAGCAGCCAGTACTCTTAACCTCTGAGCCATCTCTCCAGTCCCATAAATTATTTTCTAAGAAGATGTTTTTAATAATAATTCCATTTGTAACATATACTTGTTCTATAGTCTTTAAAATTTTTTATTATATTTATTCATTTTATATGTAAGTGTTTTGCTTCCATGTATGTATATATACCACATGCATGCTTGGTACCCTCAGAGGTCAGAGGAGAGCATCAGATTTCCTGGAACTGGAGTTATGGATCATGATGAGACACCACGTGGGTGTTAGGAATCAAACCTGGGTCCTCTGCAAGAGCAACAAGTACTCTAAACCATTGAGCCAGCTCCCTGTTCCATATTCTTGACAGAGGGGCCAAAGAACTGTTCCAGTATGACATGAAATGAGCCTGAGCAGACCCAGGTGTATCCCTTTGTTTGGTCTCAAAACCCAAGATCATGGACATTTGCTCCCTCTCTGCAAGCAAGGGTAAAATGCTGCTTGGTTCTTGCATATACTCTGCTATCCTGAATTTATAAAATAGAATTTAATACCATAGAACTCCTGAAGCAAGTGGTCATCCATAGGAATGTTTTCTAAGTACTCATAGAAAATGAGTGAAGGGGACATACAGAGAAAAGAGCAAGTCATATTTTCTATGTGACTTCTTTGTTTCCAGCTCTGTATTAGAGGCTTTACATTTTGATTATATTTCATCCACAATATCACCATATAGAGTTAATTGTATAGTCAAGGAAACAGACACAGAAAAGGAGCCACTTGCTCACAGTCTAATTAGTGACAGGTTTGGGATTTAGGCCTGGTCTCTGATTAAACAGCTCAAGTTGGGTGGGTTTTTGTGTTTGTTTGTTTGTTTGTTTTGTTTTTTAAATAGTGTATAGCACAAAAGAAGCTTCCCTTATCTTTGCTTTAGATTACCAAGAATCAATTCTTCTCAGTTTGTATTGACTCCTATTCAAAAGATAATGGGCATTTCATTCACTGATTTAAGCTACATTTCCTTTCCATTGTCATCATCCTTTGTTTTCATTAAGCAAATCAGTTGTATCGGAACAGGAGGTCCACTGGTGAACGGGATTTGTTCGATAGCTTTCTACCTGTGTGTCTGGGTTATTTATCAGAAGTGCTTTTCTCGTTAAAGATGGAAGCAGTGAAAGCTGGTTTAATATCTAATAAAGGGAGACAGGTGTGGCTGTCACAAGCCTGAAGGGAGAAGCAGGAAGAATTTGGGCTAGCTCAGGCTGTGAGTCTCAAAAGAAAAAGAAAATAGGAATGAAAGGATAAGAAGAAGTTGACTAGTGGATCAGTGTTCCTTAATAGTAAAGACTGCAAATATTATGTTATTTTTAGTATTTATTGTGCTTCATGTATAACAGCAGCAGTGGGGAAGTGGAGGGTATTTTGAGGAAGACAAATGCTTAAACATGCAGCAGGAAAAACTCAAGTCTGATATGACGTAATGGAGATACTGAAAAAACTTAAACAGAGGTTAATGACAGGGGAAGGAAATAATTAGCTAGGAAGTCTTTCATGGCTGTAGGAGAATGAGGTGTGTAGGTTGTAAAGCAGAGCAACACAAGGTCAGAATCCCAGGACTAAGCAACAAGTAAATAAATTATCCTGTTTTTCTGCCTTTAAGTAAAAAGGTCTTTAACATTTCTCCAGATGTTTAATTTTGCGGTATAGGTGTATATGCACATATATGTATATACACTATAACACACACACACACACACACACACACACACACACACACACATCTGTGTGTAGGTCTCATGGAAGAAGAAACAAAGGTGTGGGATTTCCTAAAATGTAGCTAGGGACTAGAAGTGTTTGGGATTAGATCATAAGGGGGAGGGGGAGCTGAAATGACCTGTGAAAACCCAAGTACACTGTGAAAACCCTGGTGTCCATGTGAAAATATCGTGGGCAGTCTCCAGTATAAACACTGTTCTTCATTATGCAATGTAATCTTGCCTTTCGACACCAGGACCAGTCTTATAAAGAGGCCTCCGTGAGGAGATTTTCTGACCTTATGGTGTGAGGTTCCGTAAGGCTCTTAACTCTGGACAAACCTGAATGGTTGACCAGAGCAAAGGGACTGGTGTTCAGATAAGGCCTTTGTGCCTTTTATCTTACAACCGGAGCCACAGCTTTTTGGCAAGGGGCTGGCTCTCTTGAATTCTGATCATCAATAGAGCTGCTAAGTAACTTACTGGAGGCTTTGCCTCCCAAAGGCAAGGTGAAGACTGATAAGCAGAGATCAGGAGCACAGTGGCCTCTCAGGTACAGTGCTAATCTTTCTTTTTTTCTTTTTCTTTTTGGTTTTTCGAGACAAAGTTTCTTTGTATAGTCTTGGCTGTCCTAGAACTCAGTCTGTAGACCAGGCTGGCCTTTAACTCACAGATCTACCTGCCTCTGCCTTCTGAGTGCTAGGATTAAAGGCTTATGCCACCATTGCCCAGTGCTAATCTTTATTTCAATCAATGAAACACTAACTAATATCTATCCCTGGCCTTACTCTCAGAGTTACAAAGAGGGGTGCTAAACTGTAGGATGCTGTATTCAGCATGCACACAAAATTACAGCGGAATTTAAACACTGTATCTTGTGCTGGTAACCATACTGCTGCTAGAATGCACAGGAAAGAGATGAGTGGAAGCTAGAGAGGAGCTAGTGTCTAAGAGAAGATGAGACTTTCAAGGACTAAAAAGATTCAGAAAAACAGGAGAAATGATAAGTCTGATAGCATAAGGAAAGGTATGAAAACAATTCTGGAGGAGCTGGAGAGATGGCTCAGTGGTTAAGAGCACTAGCTGCTCTTCCAGAGGACCGGGTTCAATTCCCAGCACCCACATGGCAGCTCACAACTGTCTGTAACTCCAGTTCAGGGGACCCGACATCCATAGCAAAACACCAATTCATGTAAAAATAATAAAAATTAAGAACAATTGTGGGAAATTCTAGAAGCCAATTCAGACTATGAATATTGGGGGTCACTGGGAAAAGGCATCTTGATTTTGTTTTATTTTGTTTTATTCAGGGTTTCACTATGTAGCCCTGACTGACCCAGAACCCTTTATGTAGACTAGCCTGCCTTCAGACTTGTGGTGATCCTCCTGCTACTGCCTTCTGAGTGCGGGGATTACCGGTTTGTGTCACCACACCCAGCTAACATCTGGGTATTTTACCTCCCAGCCTCCATTTCTATAAGGCACTTTCTTTCCTCCCCCTCCCTATTGTGGTATTGGCATTGAACCTAGGTCCTCAGGTATGCTAGGCAGATGCTCGACCACTGCGCTCCAACTCCAGGACTATAAAGATACTCTTTCCTTCTCTAATTCAAGTCTGACCTGAAGATTGCTATCTTAGAAATACAGATGTTGGAGACATTGCTATTCAACAAGATACTCTGGTAGCAAACGACAATAATGCTAAATACTAAACTTGTGTTGTCAAACTTCAATGTGGACAATGACTAGGTTTCCTTTTTAAAAGAGTCTATGTTTTCCCTTTTAAAAATTACATATACATACATAGATACATAGATACATAAATATGTGTGTGTGTGTGTGTGTGTGTGTGTGTGTGTGTGTGTGTAAATTGGGAGGCAATTAGTGGGAATCTGTTCTCATTTTCCATCTTGTAGGTTCCAGGATTGAACTCAGGTCATCAGGCTTAGTGGCAAATGTCTTATCCATTGAGTCATCTTGCCAGCCCCTTTTCCTCTTTTCTTTAAAAATTTATTGTATATATTGATTGCATATATTCATATATACAAGTATATGTTGTATAAGAGAATCTCCATTTTTTTTGTGTGGGGGTGTATGCATGTGGGTATGAGCATGACTTGGTGCTGATGTGGGGGTCAGATAACTTGTAGGAGGCTGTTCTAATTCTATTTTCCAACATGTGGGACCTGGGGATCAAACTTAGGTCATCATGATTAGTGCCAAATACCATCACAGGTTGAGCCATCTTGCAGCCTCAGGAATCTACATTTTAAACAAGCACTCCAGTGTTCCTATTACAGGTGGCCAGTGCAACATACCTTGAGAAATACTGCTCTTATCTAAAGCAGAAATGACTGCCAAATGGAACTACATGGAAAATGTTAATATACTATTTAGATAAATATGGGCTTATCTGCTTTTGAGAATTTATCATCTCTCACCTATGCCCTTTACAAATTTTCATGACTGTCATCTAAGGAATGAGATATAGGTACTGTTTAAGAGTGCTAGTTTTGTCTTCCCAAATAGATTGTAATCACTGTAAAGACAAGGATCTCTCAGACTTTTCCCATAATAGGGAAAGAGATCAGTGAAGGGAGCTGGGATGCTTAGGATCAATTCCTCTTACCTCTAGACAACTTCATTTATGTGTGTGTGTTCTGAGACAGAGGTTTCTCTGTGTAGCCTTGGCTGTCTTAGAACTTGCTTTTTAGACCAGGCTGGCCTCGAACTCATAGAGATCTGCTTCCCTCGTGATGGGATTAAAGGTGTGTGCTACCACTGCCCAGCTCCCCCCTCATTTTTTAAACTTGCATTTATTTATGCTGAATTTATTCCTGTGTTATAAGTTTTTGTCTCTTCAAGTTTCTTCTGTGCAACCTCCTCTTCTGGCTTTGGGGCAGTGTGTCCATTTCAGTGACAATCATTTCGATGTCGCAGAGGAGCACATATATGGGCTAATTCAGCCATGAGCTCTGTCTTCACATCTTATGTGCTTTGTTCACCTGGATATGTTCAATGACTAGAGAACCTACATCTCAACCCTTCAGTTCATACCCTCTGCATTTTTAAGCATGACACAAAAATCCAGCACTTTTTTGGAGCTACAGACCCTGTATCCTGAGCCACTGTTTGGCTTGGCCAACCTGACTCCACCATTATACTTCTAGAAGGGAACACACTGCTTCTTTAAAGTGCCGTGTTTTAGACACTTGGTGGCTTTTTGAATATGCATAGCCTTGATGGCCTGGGGAGTTTCGCTTTCTTAAAGTGAACATGAGGATTTGAACCTCTTGATTTGCATGATTTTGTAGGGTTTTCTGGGTCAAGAAAGTAGTGAACCATTTTTACAGGTTACCTCCGGCTACTTACAGGAAGATCTGACTTCCTCATGTACACAATTTAAAAAAAAAATTTTTTTTTTTTAATTTTATGAGTGTTTTTCCTGGATGTTTGTTGTGTACCACATGTGTGTCTAGGGCCTGAGGAAGCCAAAAGAGGGTGTCAGATTCCCTGAAACTATAGTTACAGACTGTGAGACACCCACATGGGTACTAGGAATTGAACTCAGGTCCTCTGGAAGAGTGGTCAGTGCTGCTGAGCCATCTCTCCAGCCACTACATGACTTTCTTGAAAAAATTTGGAGACCTTGTGTTATGTCTTTTAGGGTAGTTATAACAAAAATACCACATCATAGAAACAATATAGAATTCTTCACATTTTTGGAGGCTAAAAGTCCGTGATTAAAATGTTGGCAGTGTTGGTTTTTTTTCTGAAAATTTTCTCTTAGGCTTGTCAATCATTGTCTTCTCCCTGTCTTCAAAGGATCTTCTCTGGATCTTAATATTCATTTGTTTAATGGCACCAGTCTTATTTTACTAGGGTCTACCCTAAATGATCTTGTTCTAACTTAGTAAGGTCCTTAAAGACCCTACCTCCAACCCCCTACACACACCTTGAGGTACTGTAGATTAGGACTTCAGCATTGGATTTGGGGGATATAATTCAGCCCAGAAAAAGACCTCTAGTTTCAGCTTCTAAAATGTGTACTCACCTCCTTCTCTTCTACCTGTTAGTCTTGTATGGTATGTTTTCTCCACCCTTTGGCTTTCTTCTCCACCTCTTACAGACATGCGGCTTGTGTGGCAAGGATCCGTGGAGACCAGCTCTAAAAAGCCTAGGGTAGGATAGGCAGGTCTTTGCATGCCTCACACAGCACAGCACACAGCCCCAGTTCCGGTTCTAAGAGTTACTCACTATCTTAGAGAAATAGCCCTTTGCCAGTTCTTGTCTGCGTCCTAGCATTTGGTAACAGGTTCTTTGGAAGTGGTCTTGGGCTATCCTTATTCTTGATTTTCTTCCCTGTAGCCTTTTGCTATTTTGTGTTTTTCTTCAGTCTCCTAAGGCCCAATTCTCCTGCCTCTGCCTAAGTGCACTCTTTCTTAGAGCTTAGAGCTCTTTCATTAGGCCTTTCCTTGAGTAGTTCATTAAAAATTTTTTTTTGACATTTTGTGTGTGTGTGTGTGTGTGTGTGTGTGTGTGTGTGTGTGTGAACTTTGTTCAGTTTTCTTCTTCAATCGTGTGGGTTCTAAGGATAATACTTAGATCCTCAGGCTGGATGGTAAACACCTGTACCTGCTAAACCATGTCACTGGCTGGACTCCCTGAAAGCTGGACTATTTGAATACCTCACTTGAGAATGGACCCCAGGGTCTTGCACGTGTGAGGAGAATGGTTACATCCCACAGTCCTGAAGTTTAGAGGGTCAATCCATTATTGCAGTATCCCTAAAGCTGACAAACAGCAACACCATTAAGAATCCTAGAGAAAGAGACTGTACCATATAAAAGGTAAAAGAACAAGAGGCAACTCCAAGGTTTTTTAAAATTTCTTTCCTTGGTCACTTCTTCATGCCAGCTTCAGAGAGTACTACTATGAAAGGCAAAGCTTCCCAGATCATTCTTAGTAAGTCAAACATCTTGTTAAACCAGACAGTCTTGCTCAATTATCTTTTTTTTTTTCAAAAGCTCTGAGTTTCTTTGTTCAGCTGAAATTTATCCCAATGACACAGTTACTGTTAAAATATAGGTCACTGTTTTGTAAAATTCACTAATTCTCCAATTTGTTTCCAATCCTTATTACTTCAAAAGTGAGTGGATAAATTCTTGGAGAAGCTGCCACCTAATGGTAATGAGGGATCCCCTTGTTCCTGTTGACCGATCTTACTATCTTCCTGTCTTAGCTTCCATCCAAGAATTTGTTTCCTGGGGTGTGGCTTTCTACCTTTTTCGCTTTTGCCCTCTGGCATTGAAATACTCCTCTGGCCATGGTGTTCTCTGCACCTTTCCTGGCCTTCATCACAGGTTCGTGTAAGGACTGGGAAAAGAGCTCTGGGTACTCCTCTGAATTTTTGCAGTAGGTTAGAACTCACAAGGATCTCCTCTAATTGTTACTGCACCTATGCCCAATGGCTGCGTTGTGTTGGGAATTCTTCCAGTCACCATTAATCGACAATACACACTGCCCTGACAGTCTTGCCGTGAAGTGGCAGACTATTGTTGGCTTCACCTCAATAGGCTTGGAGCAACCCCAGTACAGGATGGAAGGCAACCTAAGAAGTCAGGACTCACTGGCACTTTAACTGTTGAAGGCAGGCATGAGACTGCTGTCCTTTGTACCGGGTCTTGCCCACCACACTTTCTTTTTTTTTTTTGGTTTTTTTTTTTTTTTTTTTTTTTGAGACAGGGTTTCTCTGTGTAGTTTTGCGCCTTTTCCTGGAACTCACTTGGTAGCCCATGCTGGCCTCGAACTCACAGAGATCCGCCTGGCTCTGCCTCCCGAGTGCTGGGATTAAAGGCGTGCGCCACCACCGCCCGGCCCACCACACTTTCTTTACTAACACTTCTCTTCAGTACTCCAGGATCCATCATCAACAGCTCCTTTGAGGTAGGCTGGGGAGCTAAAAGGGGCTGGTGATGGATTAGTTGCATTGGTTAGCCTGCGCTAATCTGACGGCAGTGGATGGGCACGATACCGACCTTATTAGTGTCGGCATTAGCAATGCTACCGTCCATCCAGGCAGGGCCCCTACATTGCCTACCGCACCACACCTCTGGGTTCTGGGTTCCCTTCCCGCGCTACTCGCCGCAGGTTCTGGCTGGGAGCTTCTCGAGCTGAACCATTTCATCCACTCCGCCGGGAGGTGGAGCCGTTGGGCTGGCCCCAAACCCTCCCAGGCAGAAGGGACAACCACCGCGTCCGGGACCCGCCCGCCCTCGCACCGCTCGGCCCCGAATGGCAGAGCCGCGCTCGGACCATCGGCATCGCCTCACGTCGCCCCGCCCCGCGCCGCGCGCCCATTGGCTGACGCCGGCCCGAGCCCGCGCCTCGCCCCCTCCCCCTGGCGCCCGGACCGCGCGGCTGCCCGGAGCGGGGTCGGAGGTGAACGGCCTGGAGTAACCCCGGACGCGCGCGTACCTCATGGGGCTGGGTGACTGAGGTGGGCGGCCGGGCGGGGGCGGGCCGGGGGCGGGGCGGGCCGCCGAAGCCCCGCCCTCCTCGGCCCCGGTGCCCAGCCGGCCTGCCGAGCGCCTGTCAGCCATCGCGGAGCCGCCCGCGTCGCCTCCTGTCCAGCACGCCTCGGCGCAGGGGCTCCGCGACCGCCGGTCGGTGCGTGCCGCCAGCCTGAGGTGAGGGAAGGGCCGCAGCCCAACCCGGAGCGGCCCGGGCCGGGGCCGGGCAGCCGGCAGGGGGCGGCCTCACAGCCTCCGCCCGCCCGCCCGCCCGCTCGCACGCGGTGGGGCTCCATCCCGTGCAGCCCCCGGGCCGGGCAGCCGGGTCCTCCCCTCAGCACCGCGGCCTCCAGGTCCCCTCCCCCGAGCTCCATGTGGAGGGCTCTGGGGTCCCGGGCTTGCGGGCCGAAACCCCGGAACCTGGGAGGAGTGCCGCCCAGGGCCCTTAGGGAGGACCCGGGGTGTCTGCCCGGTGCTTGCTGCCACTCGCCGGGCTGAATCTTTGCGTCCGACCCTGGGCTCCGAGAGGAGACGAGCACGTGGGAGGCGGGTGCTGAGGGCTGGGTCTGGTTGCATGGAAAGTCTTGTTCCTCTCTTGCCCAGAGAGGTGTGGGGCGCAGAGGCGCGGGCTGCTGTGGCTCTCACTGCGCCTTTGTATCGCGGGGAGAGCCCAGGCCAGGCGGGCTGTCCCTCTGCCAGTTCCTGCTCGCAGCATTTAAGGGTTTCTATGAGGGACGGAAGTAGGAAAAGCGTACTCGCCAGTTCTTAACTCTCCTTTGGCGTTAGTCTTGATGGTTTAGGGCAGCTCTTGAAAATAGGACCTAAGAACGTGATGGGAAGCTAAAGATTTCAGAGGAAAATGTGCGTGGAGATTCTGCCCACGTCTGGGCCGGTATTATTTTTGGATTTGAGTATCCGGCAAGTGGACACTTCCAATCAGATTTAAAGATCAGGGGCTTCAAGTAGGCCTTGTGGGTTTTTATAAAAGCATACAGGAGTAGAACTTCTCAGGGGAAATAATTTTAGATGGTTTTGTTGGGAGATTTAAGACAAATCAAAGGACTCTAGGATTTCCTGATTCCACGTCTACATAAAGTGTTTCAGAAACTTCCCAATGTGCAGAATAAATCTAATGACCTGGCCTTCACTCTCAGAAGTTGATTTCTTTTGACTTTTCTGTTTCATTTTCCCCTCTCATCATACAATTCAGGCTGGGAAGTATGCTTTCTTTGGTTACATAGTTTCCTCTCTCTTAGGGGATAGGAATACCCTAATTTGTTGCTTCATGAATGGGGATGCCCTTGACATCTATCTGTCTTGGGGATTTCTGTGCTCACTTGACAAGCACTTGTTGGGAAAGCATTGTGTTGTTTAAAACTAGGATCGCTTTTAGCATTGTAGGTAGTAGATGCCTGCTTGCTGCAAAGTAGCAAGTCTCTTCCTACGTCTTTGGCTTCCGTTTCTTTATATCTAAGTACTACTTAAGCCTTAACAGGAATATAGATGCGACCCCATTAATAATTAACAAAACCTGTCGGTTTGTGAAAGCCGTCAACAGTAAAATACTAATTTCCGAAGCTGCTTGTGTTTATTATTGTTGTAGAGGTTTTGCTTATGTTTTACCAAAGCAGAATATAAATACGTCAAAGGTAAGATTAAATTGTTTTTAAGATGGGAGGAAAAGTTGGGAAATACTGGGCCTTTCACTTAATGAATTTATACATCAGACCATAACTAGGTAATATCCAAGAAGTGTCATTGTGAAAGCTAGCCTTGGAGAACTCTAAAGTGCTGTGAACAGGTTCAGGTGTAGAGCACTTTTCAGCTAGTGAGTAGGAAAATTTTTACCTGTCCCAGAGACTGGTTTAACTGGTCTGAAGCTAGTGTTTTGTTTTTATTTGGAGGGTCTCCATGTGTTCAGCCTTGAATTTGGAGTCTTCCTTTCTCAGTGTCCCAAGTACTAGGCATGTGCCACCATACTTTGCTCTGTGTTTTTCTTCTCTCTCTCTCTCTCTCTCTCCCCTCTTCTCTCCCCTTTTCCCCTTGCTCTCTTCTCTCCTCTCTCTGCTCTTTTTCCCTCCCTCTCTCCCCTTAGGTAGGATTTCTTTGTGTAGTGTGTAGCCCTGGCTGTCCTGGAATTTTGTAGACCCGTCTGACCTCAAACTCAGATCTGCCTGCCTCTGCCTCCCAAGTGCTGGGATTAAAGGCCACACTCGGCTTTTCCTTTATTTTTTTTCTTCTTCCTTGTTTTAGATCTGCTTGTTTTTCTGTGTGTTTGTATGTGTAAACGTGTGGTCGGGAAGGTGCTGAGGCCCGTGTGTGGGGGTGGGAGGACAGCCGTCAGGCGTGGGTCTTCAGGTTTGGATTCAGGTTGTCAGACCCCGCAAGGGCTTTGACCCAAAGAGTCATTTTAGAAACCACCCTAAACCTGGATCTATTCATTTTTTGTGGGGAGCATGAACCTGTCATGTGGAGATCATAAGATAGTCTGAAGTCTGTTTTCTCCTTCTGTGTCTTGTGAGCCTTTGGGATTGAA